CCCAAGGTCGACAAATAAAATGGCACAGTACCGATGTTACCAAACCACACGGCAGGCCATTAATTTAAGTCCGTTGTGAGTCCCAAGGTCAGCAGAGCATGGCAGGCTGCTGAACAATGACACGGCTACATGCAGGATTCGAGCATGCCGTAAGCTAGAGACCATTCACAAAGCTGTTTCTTATATACAGGAAATAGACCACATCCCTAGGGCAGCTACTCAGCTGCTTGTGGTAGGTCCCACCATTGAGTTGATTGCCAGTCTCATCATGGGGAATAAATACCACCAGATGCCCAGCCACTCAACCAGGCCCAGCCAAGTTGACACACAAACTTAACTACCACCAGGCAGTTTTTCATTTTTCCATCTATGTTGTGAATATAATTTATTCTGAGTGATATGATAGCTTCGCATTTACAGAAGAAGAATTTTTTCTAACTTGGAAGGTAGCGGTGCCAACCATTCCTTGTCCTGACGCTGGTGGGAACTGAGAGGAAGAATAATTTGAAAAAGTGTATTAAACAGTTTTCATAATACTAATACAGACTCTAGAACACAGAGGGTAAGGCTCTAAAAAACTAGGAAGAGCACTTAGTCAAAGAAGAGCAAGAAAAACTCTTAAGAGTATTTTCCTTCAGTGTTGTTATCTTTTCAAAAATACAACATAATTTTGGTGTGTGCCATACTGGAGGATAGTGAAAGCTAGTGGTTACTGCTTCTCTGTTTTTTCAGTAACAGCAAAAAGGAGTTGACGATGATACCTGCTAGATCAACAAAATATTAACCAAGGTGTGCTTTTACTTTGAGAATATAGGCGAACAAATTAAAAAAAATTGTCTGCAAGCCCTTAAATACTTGCAGCCATAATGTAAAAAGTCCAAAGTGTCCACTCTTATTTCAAGCCTGGAGGAACTGTGGCAGAGCAGTGTGAAAGTTTCATGATATTCTGTATATTTCAGAATAGGTTTTTAAAAGTACACAATACCTGCTTTAACTTTCAGTAACCTTTTGTTTGTTTGTTTGTTTATAGATATGAAAATGCATGCTGTGGTGAAAAAATCATGCTTAATTGACAAGATAATTGAGTATTTAAATAGATGTGTGTGTCAAGATGGGGAGGTAAGACTAGTGTGTCTTTAGACCCGTATGTACAAGTCGGTGTTTCTTAATCAGATCTGAAATATAATCCAGCTGAATTTCAACGAGAACTTGGATTTCATATTCTGAGTGAGGTGTCTGTTAAAGGAAAACTGATCTTGAAATCTCTAAGAAGTATAAGCAGAATATGTATAAAGCTTATTCTCAGTGGAAAATAATTCTTAACATTTAATTGCATTTTAGTTTCACACAGTTTTGGTGAAAAAGTATAAAATTTGGGATAAAAAGTAGAGTGTGTTTTCTCTGACATTGGAGTAGATGAAGATGAAATAACTGGGTTTTCCCCTGCCTGGCAGGATGTAGAATGCATCATACAACCGAGCCTCACACTCTTTCGAAAAATGTTAAGTGCCGACCCGGTCCTGCGAGTGTCCCTCATACAGAGGCCTTCTCTTCTGAGCCTGCTACTCAGAGGTGTGTAAGGGGACGGCTGGTCATGAGATGGTTTTCTTTGACTGCAGTCAGCATGTGTTTTCTTTGTTATTAACAGGCCCACCAAGGTTATTAGTGATTGTGCCATTGAGAAACCCCCCGTAAAGGGAGATGCTGAATCCTGTGTCTCGTAACCCTGTGGTTGAGGTGGTTCTGGGTACTCTGATGTACATATCACTGGGGCCCAGGCAGTCACCTCTTAGCTGTGAAGAGAGAAACTGCCTCAGCCGCCATTACGACCTTCTTCCTACGATTTGTTTCCTTTGTCTTCCTTTGCTCTTGCCTTTAGATCCTTTGGTGGGTGTCAGGTTATGTCATTAGCCTGGCGTTTAGTTTCTTCACTCCACCTTGACTGCTGTATGGTGTTCCATTTTATGTGTGTGCCACTCTTTGTTCATTGCTTATCCATTGGGGGGCACTTTGGTGGGTTCCATCTCTTTGCTGTTTTAAATACTGCTGCAGTGCACGTAGGTGTGCACATAAATATTTGTGTCACTGCTCTCACTTCTGTAGGACATGTCCCTAGGAGTGAGACAGCTGCAGCATGTGGTCATTCTGTTCCTGGCCTTTGGAGAAGTGCCATACCACTCTCCATAGTGCTAGTACCATGTTGCAATCCCACCAGCTGTGTGAGTCCCAGTCTCTCTACAGCTTCATTGGCATTTATTGTTTTCTGTTTTTTTTTGGTTGCTGCCACTTTTGCAGGGGTGAGATGGTATCTCATTGTAAGTTTTTGATTTGGATCTTTCTAATGGCTGATGATTGCAAGCATCTCTTCATGTGTTTGTTAGTGCCTGTAAGTCCTCTTTGGTAAACTGTTCATGTCCTTTACCCAGTTTTTTTTATTGTATTGTTTGCCTTTTTGTTGTTGAGATAGTGACGTTTTCTATATATTTTAGAGGTTAGATTCTTGTTACATATGTCATTAATAAATTTTTTTTCCCAGTCTGTAGATTCCCTTTTTGCTCTTTTGATAAAGTCTTTTGATGAGCATAATACTTAATTTTTAGGAGGTCTCAGTTATTTGGTTTATTTTCTGTTTGTGTATTTCTAGTTGTGTTTGATAGAACATTTATGCCAGAAATGGAGGACCGCTATCTTTGTCCCTATCTTATCTACTAGGTTCTTCATAGTTTCAGCTTCAAAATTGAGGACTTTGATCCTAAATTGTTCCTAAATATATGTTGCCAATTTCACTTCTTATTTTGATTATTTGCATCTTCTCATTCTTTTCCTTTGCCAGTTTGGCCAGTGGTTTGTCAATTATCGATCCTTTCAAAGAACCAAACTCTGGTTTTGTTGATTCTAATTCATTTCTTTCCACCCTGATCTTTATTATTTCCTTTCTTATGGTGACTACGGACTTCTTTTGCTGCTGCTTTTCTGTTTGTTCAAGATACTGGGGTAAGTTATGATTTTAGCCCTTTCTTCTTTTTTGATGTCTGCATTTATTGTCTCTGAGCACTGCTTTTGCTGTGTCCTAGAGGTTTTGGTATATTGTGTTTTCATTCTCATTCATTTTTAGAATTTCAAATTTTCTTCTCTGATCCAGTAGTTTTTAAGTGAGGTGTTACTCAGTTTCTCTGTATTTAATTTTGTTTCCTTGCTCATTCTGTTACTGATTTCCAATTTTATAGCTTTATGGGCAGAGAAGATGCTTTGTATTAGGTTAATGTTTTTGAATTTATTGAAGCTTACTTTGTGGCCTAGAATATGGTCTCTTGTGGGGAGTGACCCATGTGCATAGGAGAAGAATGTGTGCTGTGCTGCTGCTGAGTGGTGGCTGTGAGGCCGAGTTGCTTAATTGTGTGGTTTAGATCTGCTGTATCTTTAGTGATTTTCTCTCTCGTTCTGTCCATTGTCAAAAGTCGTGTGTTAAAGTCTCCTACAATTATTGTAGGACTATCTATTCTGTTTCCAATTCTATTAAGAGTTTTTTTTTTTTAAATGTATTTTTGGGCTCGGTCATGTGTGCACAGGTATTTATCATTGTTGTGTCTTTTTATAGTGCCACTCTTCCTCTCTTATAATGGATTTTGACTTAAAGCCTATTTTATCCAAAATTATGATTGCTACTCCTGCTCTCTTGTTTACTGCTTATTTGATGTTTTTTCCCCCCATCTTTTGATTTTTAACTTATTTATGTCTTCATGTCTAAGATGTGTCTCTTGTAGGCAGCATATTTATGTATCACATTATTTTACAACTGTTCTGCTGCTCTTTGTCTCTCCACCTGTGCATTGAATCCATTTGCATTCAGTGCAATTAACAACAGGTATTAATTCATTGTCATTTGGTTATACTTTTTTTGTGGTGTTAATGATTTCTTTTTTCTTCCTTAACTTCTGTGCTAAGTTCTTTTTGTATGATTTTCTTTTCATAGCCTTTGTTGCTGATTTTGTGTTTAACTGAGTCTTTTTGATTTTATTCTTCTTTATTTTGGTGATTAGATTTATTAATTTTCTTTGTGGTTGCCCTCAAGTTTACCTTTATTCTCTTACCTTTAAACTAGTGTTTTGGATCCTGAAATCACCTTGACATCTTCTCCAAATGGACATCCTATAACTATACCATTTATTCTCCCTTTCTGTTTTGAAGTTGTCTTCATCTATAACTTAACACCTCTGGATCCCTGTAGTCAGTTTCGTAGTTTTATTTCACTTCTGTGAAATCTTTATCTGGATTAGCATCTGGGTGATGCTGTCCATGTGCCTTGATGTTAGGTTGTTGTCTGATGTTATTGGTTCTCTATCCAAAGGGCTTCCTGTAATATTTCTTGTATGACTGGTCTGGTTTTTACAAATTCCCTTAATTTCTGCTTAACTGGGAATGTCTTAGTTTTGCCATCATTTTTGAAAGACAATTTTGCTGGATATATGATTCTTGGTTGGCAATTCTGTTCTTTCAGGATTTTACATCTGCCATCATACTGACTTTTTGTCTGCGTGGTTTCTGATGATAAATCAGCACTTAACCTTATCGGTGCCCCTTTTAAAGTGGTATTTTATTTTTCACGAGCTGCTTTCAGAATTCTTTCTTTGTCTTTGGTTTTAGAAAAGTTGATTATGATATACCTTGGTGAATTTCTTTTGGGGTCTGTTATATACAGGGTTTGTTGGACTTCTTGGATATAAAATTTGTCTTTCATGATGTGTGGGAAGTTTTCCATATCTATATCTATATCTATCATCTCTCTCTTTCTATAGAGAGAGAGCTCTGATGGTGTAATACCTAAAGCACTTGTGCTAACCAGAAGGTTGGTGGTTCAAACCCACCAGCCCCTCTGCAGAAGGAAGATGAGGCAGTCTACTTCCATAAAGATTTACCACCTTGGACACCCAGTGAGGGTTGCTGTGAGTTGGTATTGATGCAATGACAGTGAGTTTTTTTAATATCTTGAAAAATTCTCTATTTTCTCTCCTTCTTTTCTAGAATTCTTATTACACGCATTCCTCTTGATAGTGTCCCACGAAGCTCTTGGGATTTCTTCATTTTCCTTCATTCTTGTTTCTGATTGTCCTGCAAACAAATTAGTATGGCAGGCTTTGTCCTGTTTCATTGATTCTTTCTCCCATTGATTCAGTTCTACTTCCGTGTCCTTCCATAGTGTCATGTAGTTCTGATATTTTACTGTGAATCTTGTAATTTCTAGTCATTGTTTGTGTGGTGTTTCTAATTGTTTGTTATTTTGTTCTTGTACTGTTTTCCTGAGCTCTTCTAGGGTTTTTCCTTGGTTTGAGAATCTAAATACATGTCTTTTCAATGCTTTCTCAGGTAGTTGTGTTATCATTTCTTCCTCTGGAAGGTTGTAGGTTACCTCCAAGGCATTAAGATTTATTAATTGCATGTTTGTTTGATTTGTCCTGATTGTTTTGTTTTGTTTTGTTATATCAGGGTGGGTGTGTTCTGCTGATCACTGCTGTGGTGGCAAAAGAGTGTTGCCATCTTTGCCAGGTTGGCGGGGCAGCGGCAGCAGGGGGGTAGGGGGTGTGCAGAGTGGGTGCATGCTGCCGCTCGCCAGGTGGGTGGGATGAAGCTCGGCTGCCAGTTGTTTGTCTGATGGTGCTGGAATGCATGCCACTGCTTGTCAGGTCAGCAGGGCTGGTAGAGGGGTTGGGTGGGGTGGGCGTGCACTGCTTCCCCTTGTCATTCTGGCTGCATGGAAGGACCTACTGCTGCTCACTGTGTGGGCAGGGTGGTAACGGGAGTGGCAGGTGAGGCAGATGTGGGTCACAGGTCACAGGTGGGGTGAGGCTGGGTAGGAGAGGAAAGGGGGTTCATACTCAGATCCACAGGCAACTAGAGTGGCGGGGGAGGGGTGCTCACACCATTGGTCAGAGGTGGGGGGCAGTGGTAGGGACAGTGTGCTCCTTTGATCACTGGGTACATGTGCTTGGACACTCTCTGTAGACTGCAACCATCATTTAGGACCACGCCCTGGCCTAATGCAAGGAGGAGCGGGGCTGCCTGGAATCTGGTTGGGTTGGGACCTGCTGCTGACACTACTGATCTATTAGTCTGTGTATGCCACCCACCCTAGTGGTCGAGGACTGCCACTGGTGGTAGTCCTGTTTGATTCCTGCCTACCTCCCTGTCTGGGGACACTAGCATCCCTGCAGCTCTCGCTCACCTTCTTAGATTGGTTCATGTCCTGTTCACTTTTCCTTGCTTCTCCTACTGGGAATTCTGTGGTGTTGCCTTCCCGTGCTCCTCTGTTGGGGTTGCTACTCACTTTGTCTCAAGGAGGCCACACTGTGCCTAGCAGCTGGCAAGACATCTCTGATCCCTAACTCTTGTTGTTTGCTGTTTTTGTTTGGTTTCTCCTTCTGGTGGTGTTCAGTCTAGTTGTCTGTCCTTCCTTTTGATGCTCCGGGTTCCAGGATTGTCATCTGTATCTGTTTCACGTGGTTTCTCAGGTCTTTGCTGTAGTTAGGTTGACCGTATGGTGTGTGTCTAATATGCTCTCTTGGGCTGTCTCTGATTATTGTTTGGTTTTAAGAAGACTTGAGGGGATCTTTTTGGTTTAAGGTTTAAAGCTTATCTCAGGGCATTAATTTTAAGAAGTTCAGAGATTTTAATTTGAAGTCCATTTTTTTTAGGAGTAAAAGCTATACTTTTATTTTATCCTAAAACTATACTTTTCATGCCCTAGTTTCCTTGATATTCCATGAAGATTGTGCCATTGTAACTGAAGTAGGAGCAGTATTTTGTCTTCTGTTATTTGATGAAGTATCAAGAATGGACACATGGTGAGCTATGAGAATTTTGAAAGTCTTTTGCTCTCAACAGTTATTTATCTAAGGATTCTGAAGCACTCTTACACGAATGCATGGAAATTTGTGACTTACAAAGCCGATACTTCCCACATTAGACTTACGTGGTGTGGTTTTTGGTTTAAATAAGCAGTGTTAAAAAGCCCATTTGCTCAAAAAGTCACCCTAAAATTTTCTTTTTGAACACTACTAAGTACAAAATAAGAAATTATTGTATTGTTTTATTTTTAACAAATTTTTAGTATATATCCTTAATTTTGTGTCCTTGTCTCTTTCATATTTGATTATTCTTACGAGGAATAACGTACTTTGGGAAGATGTTTAGGATGATAACATCTAAATAACACAGATCTTGAGCAGGCTCAGTGGGAGAGGGCCACACAGAGTTCCCCTTCAACTGTGATGGGCACACTGTAGGAACTCGTTGACTACAGAGACTCATTTCAGAAAGGCATACTTTACTTCCATAATCACATCCAGGTTGTGGCAGACTGTGCTGTAATTGTACTGAATGATAAAGCCAATTGTGTGTTTTGGTTTGAGTTTGTTAAGGAACTGTAGTGTCTTGTATTTGCTAGAAATGTGTGGTCTTCTCAGTGGTTTCTTTCCTTTTGTTTCTCTCATGAAACAGGCCTGTCAATTCTTCCAGTCAGCCTTCTTCACCATCCGTGTTCAGTTTGCCTCTTTCAGTTATTAGAAGGTAGAGTATTTATTTCTGATGTTCCTGAAGGTAAAATATTGTTATGGAAAAGGAAATCAAACTCTCTAATTTGTTACAGTTCTTGTATAGCATTTAAATCACATACTTTCTTGTGTCTTTATGCACGGTTCATAATAGTGCCTTGGTGATTTCGGTAAGCATCCCTCCCCCGCCCCAGTCCTGTTGTCATTACCACCTTTTAATTCTGATTGTTCAAATCTATGGAAAGATTGGAAGAATGGTACCGTGAGCACCTGCATACCCTCTACCCTTGGCTTTGGGCATTGGCAATTACCTGTATCTGTGTCCTTAGGTATCACCTTCCAGTACATGTCCATGGTCATCATGCTGTGAGTCCATATTCCATCGTTTTGCCTGTGTCTGCTGACTCTCTGTCCTTGAAGCCGGTGGCAGATATGTTGAGAGTGGCTTGGAACCTCTCCTGGTATCATGGGATTGACAACCTATTGAAGCAGATGAACTCAGAAGCTAACATCCAAGAGTAAGCTGTTATGCTTAGTTGAAAACACACTCACATTTAATAGATTACATGGACTTTGCCTTTTCTTTGGGTTAGAGTGTTCTTATACTTGTTATTATTACTAAATTCTGCTTTTTAACTGAAGATTATAATTTTTTACTTTGTATTAAAGATTATGTGTTTTCATTACTTTAACGAAATGAATCAAACAAGGAAATTAAAATTTAAAAGCACTGTATTGTGTACTGTTTCATAGGTTACATGAAGTTTTGCCAGTCAGTCAATGTAAATTACCACGAAGACAGTTTGGGATCAGACACCAAGCTCAGTTGGTATCCTGTATGAAGACTGTTACCATTACTATCACATAGTGATAATTATTTTGGAATATCTAGAATTTCTTAAGTGAAATTTTTGTCAGTACTTTCTTATATGAATCAAAAATATTTAATATTTATGTTAAGTAGGAAAAAGTCCACATAAACACTGGCATGCTGGTGGAAAGCTCCCATATTGGGATGTACAGCAGTTCTGATCTGCTTGAATTAAAAGAAAATGAAGAGAAGCCCCATTTTCTGGAAAAAGTTTATTGTGTAATGAAAGTGTGTGAGCTTCTGTGTAGTAGCTTGATGTTGCTTCCTCTTTGTGTCTCTCTAGAGTTTCGGGCCCATTGCAGTTATCTGCAGAGGACGCTCTTACTCTGAAGGTAACACACACAGCCCGTGGGCTGCAGGACTGCCTCCATTCCATCGTCCAGGCTACAGCCCACAGGGAGGTCAGGGCTGCTGTCACTAGGATGGGCTTCTATCTGCTGAATGACAGACTGTCTTTGAAGAGTGGCAGTGGCCTGTGTGGGGTGACCTTGAACTCCTTGGCTTGGCACACCGCACTAAACAGGTCAGTGTGAGCTCCTGCCTGCCAGTTTCAGAGACCTTGAATGAGTTGTATTTGGGTTCATCTCTACTCCTGTGAAGATGAGAGTGAGTATTGTCACTGTGCCTATCATGAGAGAAATTGTTTTTATAGAAAGAACTCTAAGATTTTTAATACCTGTAATAAAAATCTACTGACAGCAAAAAAGAACTGTAACTTCATCACTGTAGTTTTGAAGGAATTAGCAGTAAGCTTATAGCAATTCTGTTTGTTATCCTACTCTAGAGCATTTTATTTGTTCACCTACAGAAAGAAATACTTAGGCTGAGACGTGGATGAAGCAACACATGCTTATCCCTGCTCGTGTTACAGATGAGTTGAGACATCAGGCTCCTTTATTTTGTTTTGCTCTTGTCTTAAGGGAATTATCTCGTTTTTCTCTTCACTCTGGCTTTCAGAAAGTTGGTTGCCCTGTAGAGGTCCTGTAGCCCCTGCTGCGAAGGCCCTAGCTTATCGCTTGAATGTGTTGAACTGGTGCCAGTGGGGGCACTGGAAACAAACACGACTGTCAGCAGCCCCTGAAGACCATTTTCATCTTAGTGTCCGTGTGACTCAGTTTAAGTGTCTAACTTTCTTACTAGGCCTAACGAGGGTGGTCTCACCATGTTGGGTTACCGGAGTCTCCAGAATGTGTGAACTCCTTTATTTCGTTGCGTGCTGGCAGCTGGGATGTCTAATTAGGCCGTCCTGGTGGTGTGCTGCAGCCCAGTTGGTGCTACCTGGCAAGAGAACCGATGGTTAACTGCTGAGTCTTTTTGCCAGCTGATTGTTAAACACAGCCATTATTAAACGTTACGCTATATAAGCTTACAGTTCAGTAAATTCCATGCCAAACAAAGGCCGTGAGTAAGCAAGCCTCATCACTTCCTGATTGTGTTTACCACATTTCACTCTCTGACTGTACTCCTGGGGTTATATCTGTTACTTTGTACTTTGGACATCAGCACAGTGGTGTGTGCTTACCATACATCTCCTCACTAAGCCTTGTTGTGTTGCTGGCTTGGAATTGGCCTTGTACCAAGGAAATTGGCACACACACAGATCTGCAGCTCCCCCACCCCCAGCTATCCAGCCAGTTAAATACTTATTAGTACTGTGGCTCTAACACTGTTAACAGATGCAAGTGTGAACTCTGAAGGTTAAATAAATTTGATAATCCCTCATTTTCAAAAGAATATTTTAAGATAAAAATTGATAGATACTGTTCTGGTTACCTAGTGCCGCTCAGACAATAATATACCACAAACGTGATGGCCTTAAAAACAGGAGTTTATCTCTTACAGTTCAGGAGGCTAGAAGTCCGAGTTCAAAGTGCCAGGCCCTAGGGGCTGGATGAAAGCCCCTTGACCTTGGGTTTCAGCGCTGCCTCCTGCCCCCAGCCCATTGAAGCTGGAGGCTTTTCTTCACTCAGACAGCTACTGGCTGCTGAGGCTAATAAGCCCAAGGTCAACAGATAAAATGGCACAGGCCCAATGTTACCAAACCACACAGCAGGCCATTAATTTAAGTCCATTGTAAGTCCCTAGGGTGGCAGAGCATGGCAGGCTGCTGAACAGCGACACAGCTACATGCAGGGTCCAAGCGTGCCATAGGCTAGAGACCATTCTCAAAGCTGCTGCTTATCTACAGGAAGAAGACCACATAAGCAAGTAGCTACTCAGCTGTTGGTGGTAGATACAGCCATGGAGTTGATTGCCAGTCTCATCATGGGGAATAACTACCACCAACTTCCCAGCCACTCAACCAGGCCCAGCCAATTTGACACAAAAACATAACCACCACAGATACCGTATGTGAAAAAACTGGCATCCTGTCAGTTGAATGTCATTTTGGCAAGGTGGGAATTTTAGATAAAGTAACATTAAAGAATCATAGGGCATACACCATGTTACGAACTAACACGGCACAGCACAGCTCTAAGAGTTGTTGTGATGTTTAAGAAAATACTTAGGACAGAGCCTGGCCCATGATAAGTGCTGGTAGTTTTAGCATTGTTGCTCGCTTATATTTTTTAAAATAAAAATTTAAAACATGGCATGTACAGTTGAATCTCTTTATCCCTCTTCTGGATTACCTCTTGTAAAAATTTCTCAAACCATTTCTCAGTTTTTAGAAAATTTTTCTTCTTCTTGTTCTTTTAACCGCTTCTCTTTTCAGAATTCAGAAAATCGGTTTGTGTCCTTTCTGTGAACTGACCACGGTGCCCTGTGTCCAGTGTTCTTGCTTATGTGAACTCCAGCCACTTCACAAGATCCAACCCTCCCAGCCCACTTTATCACCTGGTTCTTCCTAATTGCTTAGAAACAGATTTGAAATATGAGTTTGTCTGCACAGTGAAAAATGAAATTCCCAGCAGGAAAGAGTGCCTTTCCCTCAGCAGGGGAGGTAGGGCTTTTCTGCTTTCTTTGCTCTTCGCTGGCAGGGCTCTGAGGGTGTTCTTCTTTTCTGTCGGTCCTCTTCACTTCGGTTTTCAGTGAGTTTCTTGGGCACATGTGTCTCCCCCCACCACCCCGGATTCCAGCTTCCTCCTTCTTTGTGGGTTTCTTGGCACCCGGCCTAGTGTCTCATGAAATAGCATCCTCAGGAGGAACGTGCTGAGCGTCTGAGTCTGTGGTGCCAATAATAGTCGAGTCTAAAGAGATGGAAACCATGATTATTGTTTCTTTATGACAGGTTTTTACAAGTGCTTCCTGTGTGCATTGAAGATGAGAAACTGCTAATAGACGTCATACATTTTTTAAATAAGTTAATAAAGGAGCAGAATACAAACTCATCAGTAGAACTCCTAAACTGGATTCTAGAATTATTTCTCAGACATGTAAGTATTGTTAAGGAATTTGGATTTTAGGTTTGATTAGTGATTCATTTATGAAATCATTGTTATGGAGGGGAACAGTTTTTTACAGACTGTTTAATAAGTAGTCCTGGTGCTGTGATGGTTCATAGCAGCACACCTTCCTCACATGGTTGGACGTGTGTCTGTTCAGGTAGAGTTCTATAGACTGAATGAGCTCTGCGGGCTTGGTGTTCAACATAACCCAGTTGCATAAGTGAGCCTTTGGCTATCATTGTATTTAACGTGAGATCTCACTGTATGTTCAAACTGGAACGGGGACAGACAGGTACCAGAGCCATCATGGGCCTTATATCCCAGTGGTGGAGCAGTTTATAAATAAACGTATGAAGAAAAATAAAACCAGGTAAGTAGTACCTAAGGCATTTGACTGCTAACCAGAAGGCTGGTGGTTCAAACCCTCCAGCCACTCCTCGGAAGGAAGATGGGGCATCTACTTCCTTAGTGAAACTGCCTCGGAAACCCAAGGAGGGGTTGCTATGGGTTGGATCTGACTCAACAGCAGTGAGATTTTTCAAGGGATAGTGAGTAGCAGGGGTTCAGTCTTCAATGCGGTGGTTAGAGAAGACCTCTCTGAGGAAGGCATGTTTGAGGAGACACTGGGATGAGGTGAGGGAGTCCACCAGGCAGTTGTGTGAGAGGAAGAGATTTGAGGGGCAGGCTGCAGATGTGCTGAGGCCTTGAGGTACGTGTCTCTGACTTGTCTGAGGGACAACCAGGAGGGCGGTAGGGGGTGGATGGAGCTGAGGGAGGAAGGGAAAGGGTCGATATGTAACCATAATTGATTACAGCATTATTTGTTGTTTCAGTGACTATTTATTAGGTTGTTAGTTTGTTTAACATTTAATCGTCACTCACTCACTGTTTTCTGTTGGTGGGTCTAACGGTGGTTTTCGGTGGCCGGCTGTGTGGCCGTGGATGTTGTCTGTAGTTCATTTGTCACGTGTGCAGGTGTTACACGTCCTGGTGCTGCTTCTCCATCCTGTCACTCTCACCACCTCAGTGCCTTTGCGTTTCCTCTTCTCTGGCGGGACTTTCCCTCCCGTGGCTGTCGGTGCGGCTGATTCCACCTGAACGCAGGGCTCCACTCCAGTGGTGGTTAAGCCAAGAGGCCTCCTCTGATGACAGCTTTACCAGCTTCAGTTGTTTTCTCATGGCGTTTATCACTCCCACCCGAAGAATATCTTTGTTCATTTTCTGCCTAGCCCCCCGCCACTGAACATAGGTGCAGGCAGGACAGAAGATTTCTTTACCCATGGCTGTGTTATTTTTATGTAGTCGGATTTCTCAATTTCTATATAGGTTCTTGATTTTGTAGCTTAGAAGGATTTTCTTCACTCTAGTATTTCAGGTAAACCCATGTTTTCTTTTATAATGTTGAAAGCTTTCTTTTTCTTTACATGTTTATTCATGTAGAATTTCTTTTGAAGTAAAGATTATTTTTCAGATAATTAGCAGCTTTCTCAGTGTCATGTTCTGCCCCTGATTTGAAATGCCACCTTTATATTTTTTAAATCATAAGCATATTTCTTCTATGTACATTGCTCTTTGATTAGACTTTGTAATGGTTCCTTTGATATGCTCGTGTTTCTGAACTCTTGTTTTTGGATGATAGTAGCAACCTTTTCTTTGTTTTTCCTTCTTCCAGGTTAACTTCATTTTTATTTTGTGACGCTAAGTATAGAACAGGCGTCCAGTAGAACATCTGTATGTGAATTTCATTGTCTTCTATAGGTATAGCAAGAAATACCTCACACAAAGTTAAACAGACTGGTAAACTAGGAAAAATATGTAACGCAAATGAGGGACAAGATGTATTTGTTGAACCTTCATAAGAGGATTGAGCTTCCAAAGCACATGCACTCAGTACTCCATAGGTTTAGTCTCTGTTAACTTCTCAAAAACGATCTCAAAGAACTTCCATTTTCTCTCATCTTTTAATTATTAACATAAAACTAAGGAAATGTTTCTAGGCAGTTTTTTTCTGAATGTTTTTTTCCCACTCTCCTTCCCACCACTGAAAATTTTTAATAAACCAAAACAAGGAACCCTAATGCCCTGGGAGTTCTCTCTCTGGCTTTCAGACATGCTTACATATTTTAGAGATTGGATATTAAAATATCATGAAGGCAGTCTTTCTGATACTTTCCTTCTGAATGAACTTTTCAATAACTCAAATTGATTTTTGGTCTATAAATTGTTTATAACATAATAATCTTTTTACTCCTGTGTTTCTGTTTAAAAATAAACTAAAATAATCTCCATTTTGATTAGGCTTGCATTCTGGGAATTGTGGTGACATTGAATTGTGAAAATAGCAGATAGTGGGCTTTAGTTTTAGAAATTTTTCTTGAAAATCTGTGCAATAATTGAACTAATTTAGTTTGAATGTCAGAAAGCCACTTGCATGTTACTAGAATATGTTTAAATTCTGTAACCCTAACTAGTCTAAACTGTACATCAGTGATCACCCTGAGTGCTGATGCTCATTGTGTAATTTCTTTATAGTTATGACATTTCTACATGAGTCTAGATGTGTGTAGTATAATTTTAATACCATTTAGAACAGGATTGTTGGTATAATTAAATCTCCTTATTCGACTTTGTTATGGTATCAAGACCCTCTTTGGGAAGTTTTTAATTTTATCTACTCATAAATGATCATCATTATTGTTATGAATAAATAATAACAATACTTTTCAAGGTGATTTAAAGTCAAATTGAAGGAGCTGTAGCATCACACTGCCTGTGGGTCTCACTGAGTATAATATAGGAGCCCTGGTGGTGCAGTGGGTAAATGCTTGGCTGCTAGCTGACAGCAGTTTAAACCCAGCAGCCTTTCCATGGAGAAGGATGCGGCAACCTGCTTCCGTACAGATTAGTTCTGGAAACCCATGGATCAGTTCTACTCTGAGACCCACAGCCAAAACCACTGTTGTCAAGTAGATTCCAACTCACACTGACCCTGTGAGACAAAACAACTGCCCTAGAGGGCTTCCAAGGCTGTCATCTTTAAGGGAAGCAGTCTGCCACATCTCTCTCCCATGGAAAAACTGGTGGGTTCTAACTGCCAACCTTTCGGTTAACAGCCGAGCTCTTAAAAGGCAGCTCTTAACCAGTGTGTAGAAGTTGCTGCCTCTTGGAGGTCAGTGGTGACAAATAATGACCCCAGCAGCTGGTTTAACATTAGAGTTGTGTACTGACGTTTGAAGACAGCTAGTTCAGGTGTGATGAGGTGCTTGCGATGAACAGGCATCGGTACCGACCTCTGCCCTGCTGTCCACTGTACTTGAGGAATGGTGATGCTCCTGTGTTTCCGAGGTGATAATGCCGAGGTTCACTGACTGACGGCGATGAGCAAAGTGAAGCTGTATCGGAAAGAGAAACAAATTGAGCAGTTTACGAGGAGAAGCAAGTTAGCAGTAGGAGGGGATTCTTGGGAGGAATCGTGATTTTTGGTGTCACATTCAGCATCAACATGTGCTTGCATGTTAAACAAAAGCTTCTACTTTACTGTTATCTGTATACCAGAATTAAACTCTGGTAGGAAAATTACGTATTTACCAAAATGCAGTTACGGATTTGCATGAGAAGGTGCTTGTTCATTTTGGCAGTATTTATAGGCATTACACGGAGGTGGAGAAGATTGAAGTTGGCTTTTGGTCATTTAGGGCTAAGAGTACATATAAAACAAGCAGATCCTGCCTCAGAAACCCAAGGAGGGGTTGCTGTGAGTCAGATCTGACCCGACGGCAGTGAGTTATTTATTTATTTTTCAATCACTACAGAAGTGGGTTGCCCAACCTTCCTTCTGAGGAGTGGCTGGTGGGTTTGAACTGCCAGCCTTCTGGGTAGCAGTCAGATGCCTCAGGCACTACACCACCTGCGTTCCCAAGAATACTATAGAAAGTATATTTTTGTAATTTTACTAAATGTTTATCTCGCCTCTTTTGTTCATGTGTGAAGCAGAAGTTGCAGTTATGTTTCATGAAATTGTGTTTTATCCTGAGGAGGCATTTCTTCCTCCTCAGGATGAGAAGAAACACTGGGAGCACCACTGCTCGGCTCTCATGCGGGGCGTTAGCATAATTTAAACCCAGAACGTCTCCCTTGACCCTTTGCACAAGCGCTCGGTTTTTTTTTGTGACTGCGTGGATCTGATCGAAGTGCCCTGCATGATGTAAACAGCTGGGAATTTTCACCCTGTTTTGAAAAGTCTCTTTTCCTCCAAAGGAAACATAGTTAATTTAGGATTGGGAATTTTTTCTTATGTGAAGGATTTCATGGCAGCAGTAATGACATTTTGATTCTTTCAGAATGCCATTTTATTAGCCTCTGATGAACTGAGTACTGGAGATGAACTGTTAACTAGCTGTGGGGTGGATGGCTCTACACTGGGGCTGGACTGTTAACTAGCTGTGGAGTAGATGGCTCTGCACTGGGGAGGGACTGTTAACTAGCTGTGGGGTAGATGGCTCTGCACTGGGGCTGGACTGTTAACTAGCTGTGGAGTAGATGGTTCTGCACTGGGGCTGGACTGTTAACTAGCTGTGGGGTAGATGGCTCAGCACGGGGGCCGGACTGTTAACTAGCTGTGGGGTAGATGGCTCTGCACTGGGGCCGGACTGTTAACTAGCTGTGGGGTAGATGGTTCTGCAGGTGAGTTTTGTTCTGCCTATTCTGTGTGACATTGAACAAGTTACTTAACCTCTCCATAAACCCCAGGTTGCCTGCCTGTAAAATATGAATGAAAAATCTCATCTCCTGGTTTAATAAAATTAAATGAAATCTTTCTGCTTTTCGCCATGTACCTTTGACATAATAGGTAATTAGTAAGTATTTGATGTGGGTTAATGTTACACTGTGTACTGTCTAAATATTACTAGAAATAATCTTACTATGTTTCTTTACCTACATCTTTTTTTACAGCTGTAAAAAGAGGGCAGAAACGTGAAAGCACAGCTTTATTCTGTTTGTTTCTCAGCCTGTGCGGCTGGCCGTGATGAGTGCCGCAGTGAGGCTCAGCCCTGTGTGGAGCTGGGGCCTTTCCATGCCCTGGTTGTTGGTGGTTGGTGCCTTCTCTCTGCAGGACGACATCTTTCAAAAACACTGAAACTATTACCATGTTTTGACTTAATTCCTGGGCTTAGAATTCCTTCTCAGGAAACAGAGATGAGTGCACAGTTTTTTTATTGCATCTGAGTGATGTTAGAGATCATGGGTTATCTAGTAGTTGGTGTGGTAAATCTTTATGGTTGAAAAATAATAGTTTTGAAAAAATAGTAATAATAACATTAAAGAGAAAAAGGTTCAAAAAAGTGGATCTTTCCTACTTGATCTTAGTTTTGTTGAAAAATTTGTGAGTGCGGTTATGTTCACATTTACTCACTCGGCACTCGGTGCCGATGTGAGAGGGCGGCTGGCCATGGGTGTGCACGTGGCGCTTGTTGTTGTCCTCCTTGTACCTGTCTGCACTATCCTCAGTGTCCGATAATACATGTTTTTCTTTTATTGAGAGAACAAGTTCAATACCTTTCGATTTAGTACATCTCTACTAATGCTGTAATCGTTTGACATGTTTACAATAAAGACTCACACTTAGTAAAAAAGAAAAAAATAAATAAACCAAAAGGAAACCCATGCCCATCTAGTCAATTCTGACTCATAGAGACCCTATAGGACCAAGTAGAACTTCGCACAGGGTTTGCGAGGCTACAGAACTTTACAGCAGCAGCCTGCAGTGTCTGTTTCCTGTGAAGTGGCTGGTGTTTTCACACTGCCGACGTTTTGGTTAGCAGCCAGAGGCCTCCAGCACTGTGCCAGCAGGGCCGCTGCACCCCTCGTAGCTAGGTAATGGTTGTCGTTACTGTGCGCCGTTGAGTTATTCTTCGCTCCTGATGACCCATGCGACAGAGCGGAGCTGCCACGTGGGGCTCCTTGACAGGAGTCTTTGCAGGAGCGGATCACCAGGGCTTTTCTCCCGTGGATGCGCTGAGTGGGTTCAAACCACCAACCTTTTTGTTTGCAGCTGAGCACTTAACCATCTGCACCCCTAGGGCCCCTTCGTCAGGTGACACAACCTTAGCCACACAAGCCTTTATGGGAAACAACACAGCTCAACTGGAGAGTAAATGTACTTTTGCAATTTCATTTTTAGGGTCCAAACCCCCTGTTGGACCTGCTGGTTCCGACAGACTCACAGGCACGAGAAGAGGCGGATGATGTTCGGACCGCGGTCAGGCAGCAGCTTCAGAGGGAGCTGATCGCCCTCTTCGGTACCTTACTACTCGGACTCAGGGCTGTGACGGACAGGTACGATTTGCAGTGTTGAAGGTCTGGGTACATTGGTAGAAATTCATTTTCTTTCCATGTCCTAGGAGTTTCACCTTTCTTCTTTTAAATTAGGAGGAAGGAAGACTTAAATGACAGGTCCTGTTAGTCTGTGTTTTTTGTCCTGATTGTAACTTCTAGTCTTTTTCACCCCCCCCCCCACACTCACACATACATGCATCGCATGTATACACACACACAATTTTGTTGTTCTTTGGAGTACTCGGTACTCTTAAATTGTCCACACCTTTACCTGGGCAGTCATAACCATTTCTATGACTTTACTGAGTACTTTTATACTGATGAGTCTCAGATGTGTATCGTTAATTATGACTTTAAAAAATTATTTTATTAAGACAAAATTTACCGTATTAACTATTTTAAAATGAATGACTGCGTTTTGATATATTCACAGTGCTGTGCCACCATCAGCACTAATTCCAGAATGTGTTTTCACCGGATAGGAAACCTCATGCTGTTGAGCACTCTGCATTTCCCTTCTCTCTTCACCCATCCAGCTGGTTGTCTGCTTCCTGTCTTAATGTAGTTGTCAGTTCTGGAAATTTCAGATGAAAGGATTCACATAGCATGTGGCTCTCGGATTCTGGCTTCTTTCACTTAGCGTGTTTCAGTACTTAATTGCTTCTTTTGGCTGAATAGCATTCCATGTATAAAACCGAAAAAATCAAATCACTGCTGTTGACTTGGATCCGACTCATACCTACCCCTCCTTGGGTTTCTGAGGTGGTATCACTACAGAAGTAGATTGCCCAGCCTTCCTTCCAGAGGAGTGGCTAGTGTATAGCCATGTGGGTATACGTGGAATAAGTATATGACATTCTTTTTATCCCTTCATATCTTGGTGGACATTTGAGTTGTTTCCACCTTTTGGCTGTTGTGACTAGTGCCACTATGCACATTTGTATGTGAGTGTTTGTAGGAGTAGAATTGCTGGTTTGTGTGGTAGGTTTATGTTTAACTTTTTGAGGAAGTGCTGAACCGTTCACAGGGGCTGCACCATTTTACATTCCCATAGCAACGTACAAGGGTTCTAGTTTCTCCATATCCTTACCAGCCCGTTGCTTTCCACGTTGGGGCATCGCTATCCTGGTGGCAGTGAAGTGCTTTCTCCTTGTGGCTATGATTTGCATTTCTCCACTGACTGATGAGAAGACTGGCAGTTCAAACCACCAGCCACTCCCAGAAGAAGATGGGGCAGTCTACTTCTTTAATGATACCGTCTCGGAAACCCAAGGAGGGGTTGCTGTGAGTCGGATGCAGCTTGATGGCAGTGAGTTTGGCTTGGTTTGGAATGACTAATGATGGTTAGCGTCTTTAGTGTGTTTGCTGGCCATTTGTATGTCTTCTTTGGAGAACTGCCACGGACTGCCGTGGAGTCAATTCAGACTCATAGCACCCCTGGAGGACAGAATGGAAGTGCCCCATGGGGTTTCCGAGGCCGCCATCTTTTTAGAAGCAAGGAGACACGTTTTTCTCCAGTGAAGCAGCAGGTGGGTTGAACAGCTGACCTTTCAGTAAGCAGCTGAGTACTTAACCACTGTGCTTTGGGGCTCCGTTGTGAAAGGATGGGTGATCACATGGTCGAATAGCTGTCAGCTTTTAGAAGTCTGATGATCTGTCGGATGGAAGGCATTTCAGATTTAATTCAAAGTTTTGTAACACAAAGGTGTTATTTCTTCCAGGAATTACATCTTTGGATCCTTGTCTTGCTACCTAATTTCAGAAATCTTGTTTTTTAACAAGAAATGTTCTCTTCATTGTTCTGCTTTTGACAACTTTGTCTAAAGTACATGTCAAACTCATTAAAACCTTTCTTTCCCTTTATTTTAGCTGTCTGGAAAAAAACGATGTATTTTAGTCAATTAAAAATTAATTCAATTTTTTTTAATGACAGCAATTAATTTCAAATATGAGTTGAATGTATTCCTTTTCCTTTAACATATCCCTTTTTCAACTTTTGATTTCATTGTATTGGGTGGCAATGCCAGTATCCATGTATGTATTTTTAAATGTAATTGCATCTTGGGTATTTTAACTGTTTTCCTTGGAAAGTCTTGTTTTGGGAAGAGCCTGTCCCTGCCATGTTCATCTCCTCACAGCTCTGTGGTGCAGTCAGCTTTCTGGCCAGCTAGCAGTACAGCCTGTTCGACTCCTTGCCCTTGTCCTGTGGCTGACTGTTCCACCTTTGCATGTGTAGGAAATGCGTAGAACTTCTCCGCGTTTTCCACACGCAGCTGGCTCTGAGGCTGCTGCAGTGTCTGCGAGTGACAGACGCCCCCCATTTCTACGGCCTGCCTTCCCTGGAGCGGACCCTGCGGGGCATGGCGCACCTCACTGCGGCTCCGGGCTGGAGTGCCCACTCTCCACTGACCAAGCCGTTGGACATTTGTGCCAAGTACTTGTCAGGTCTCCTTGAGGTGAGTGGAAATAGCGCCCGCTAGTTGGTAGTATATGCGGTCACACACTGACTGCACACGGGCTGGAGCTGTGTGCTGTTGGTAGCTTGCTTCCTAGGTGCCAGCCCACATTAAGTGCACTGTGACCAGGGGATGGGCCATGTTGTGGTCATCTTGCCCCTTTGATTTCAGTGTTGCTTGTGCAGGGGCCCGGGGAGACTATGCTTGCTTTTGTAGTTTTGGCAATGAACTGACCCTGAAAGGGCTCATTGATTTCTTCCCAACCACGTGTGCCAGCCTCACTCTGGCCTGACAGCATCAGTGAAACCAGAGGCTGGGTCCTTCCCGCACTAGGCTTTAGGAGTGAGTGTTGGGAGACAGCGTAGAGTTGCATTGTGCAAGGGGGTAAGATAAGGCAGCCACCAGCTGTGCAGACATTCACCTGCCTCTTCCCTTTCCCGCGCTGTCACAACACCTGCCCCATGACCGCCTCCTCCTTCAGACACACGTGTCTCCTCACCTTGTCTCCCCACCTCACCTTTCAGGTGCTTAGGAGTCTTCCCCGTCTTGCATCTTGAGTGTCATCTCTGTCTTTTCCCTGCTTCTCTGACGTCACAGTCATATCTGGCCATTCTGAAAAATAAGAAAGAAAACTCAGAAATAAAATCTGTTTCTCTCACACGTGCACTTTCCTCTTCTTTGGGTGGCCATCTCTGACACAGAGTTTGGGGTCTGACTACTCACTTATCATCCTGCGGTAGCCTTTTCTTCTTCCAGGCACAAATACTTGGTGAACGTTGTTTGACCAACTGTCCTCTTTCATATGTTTGTACCTGTAGCAGTTTGCATATGTCCCTTTTATGATGTTTAGCATGTTATGTATTTATTTTGCATTATGTGTCAGTCCACTAGTAGACTGTGAACTTGGGAGGAGAATCTGGGGACCATTTCCATGGCCCTTGGATGCGCCTTGTCTTAGCACAGTGATTTGTACATAGTGGACAAATAGTGAATAATTTAATTGAGATGTATCTTATTATTTCTAGTAAGAATATAATTTGAATAACAAGAACTATGGCATAAATGAATGTAAATGATGCATGTTAAAATTTCATATTTTAATTTTTAGATTATTCTTCAGATGTTATTTTTTGTCCAAAGGCAGATAGTCTTGTTTTCTAAAAAAGATTTCAAAGTTCCACATACTTTTAGCTATATGTATATAATTTAATGTGAATTTTTGTGTAGCCACTTTAATAAAATAGATTTTAATTTGCATGAATCATTATCAATACTGGAAAAAGGGCAAACTTATCAGTATTTTAATTAGTTTTCCCATGCTTCAAAGTGTTCCATTATCAGAAATAGATGAAGTTTAAAAGCGGATGTATTAGCTCAAGAATTAACAATGTTTTTTAAAAAGACAGCTCTTCTAATCCATTTTAAATGCAATTCAAATGACAAGTTCCTGATAAATAGCTTTGTTTGTAAAGTGATCTATAAATACCCGGTTTATAACCCTTTTATGGAATACATGTCTTCCATAAAGTGATTTTTAAGTGTTTCAGACCAGGGGTGGGTGAGGACTCACTATGGCAGTAATTGAAGAAGAAGCCAAGTGCTGTGTTGTTTCATATTTAGAAAACATCAACAGTACTTTTGTTTTTAAAACTGAAACTGGAGACACTTGAGATCACACCTCTCTTTCAGCTACTGGAAATTATGATCAGCTTTTATGGTGGAGAACAAGGGGCTTAGTTTTCGGTAAGAAGTAGAGGGAAGGGTGGGAATCTGTGGGGTACAGAAGTGAGCACGGCGTATCAGCCGAGGGATGGAGCCAGAGTGCAGTCCCTGTCGGGCAGTGTCCCAGTTAGGCAAAACCTGCTGAGCCAGTCTCGGTGTGGCATAAACAGAGGAGTGTGTTGTGGACTTCCTGAAACATCTTGAGAAGAAAGTCCTTATGTCTTAAAACCAGATCTGTGGTGTGTAATTTCAGGGATCTAACGAGAGGTCAATTCTTGGCTTGTCACGTAGAAGCTGGAGGTAAACTCATCATACAGAATGTCAGGTGCAGCTGTCTCTAGAGGAGAAGGACTTGGCTGCCCCGGTTTCTTATTTGATGAAAATAGACATTACTAAACCCACTGCCACTGAGTTGATTCTGACTCATAGAGGCCCCCGTTGAGTTTCCGAGGCAGTAAGTCTTTAGAGAAGTCTATAGATTGCCCTGGCTTCCTTCTGTGGAGTGGTTAGCAGTCAAATGCCTTAGGCACTGTTCCACCAGGATGCCATTACCAGCACTGTAAAATTCTTGTTGATATTTTAGAATTATGGTTTAAATGTGAATGATGTTTTCCCCACTTCTGAGTGATTTTATATTTCCACTGCATATTTAAAATTAAATGGTTTCTTAAAGTTTTTAAACTTTAATTCTGAAAAATTTCAAAAGTATGCATGTGTAGAAAGAACAGCATACCTTAGCCCATGTTACATCCTCAGCTAGCACTCATCATCATTGTTAACCCACGGCCAGTCTGTTTCATTTGGAGGCATTTTAAATGATCTGCTTTGTGAAAATTCTAATTTAGATCAAAGACCCCAAAGTATGTATGAATAAATTGCTTTTATTAAATAAGCTGTGACTAACATGATTTATGCCATCTTTTTTTTTTTTTTAATGGTCTGCTTTGCTGAAAAAAACCTAAACCAACAGGGGACTCTTCTGAGATGAAAGGCTCATAGTGAGGGATTCGCTGATGAGTGCCCGCACTTAGCTCCTTGATGGATGGATTGACATGTCCCTGGTGTGTTAGTGCAGATAAGAAGCGGTTTTGATTGCTTTGACTTAGGACATTTATTCTCTTCAAAATGTGTTGGCACCTAAGCATAGCATTCTTTGTTAAAATGTTTGAGTTATAAGTGGTCCTTGTCCCATCAAATGTTGGTGTTCAGGGCTACAGAGCTGTGAAGCCTCTTGGTACTCAGTCGGTTAGTAAGTATCTACTAGACCCTTAGCTGGGAGAAAAGGAAGGCGGGAGCAGAAATGCATGATTTACATAGAAATGGGCCAGTAGAGTTTCAGAGAGAGAAAGAGTTTGGTTGTATATTTCAGAGGGTTTTCTAAATCAGATATGCAAACTTGTGCCCAACCTGCTGTTGCTACCTTTTTGTGTCCGTTCAAATTCATGTCCTTTTATTGTTTTTACTGGTAGAGATTATGTCAAATCCCTTAGTTATGTGAGAATGAAAATGTGAAGAACTAATGATTTAAATAATTACCATATTTAAATATGCAGTAGAAATATGAAATAGCTCAGAAGTGGGGAAAATGTCTCTTTACATTTAAACCATAATTCTAGAAAATCTAGTGTAAGCCTTGTAGACCAAAACCAAACCAAACCCGCTGTCGTTGAGTCGAGTCTGACTCACAGTGACCTCTCCTTGGGTTTCTGAGGCGATATCACTACGGAAGTAGATTGCCCAACCTTCCTTCCAGGAAGTGGCTGGTGGGTTTGAACCACCGGCCTTCTGGTTAGCAGTCAGATGCTTTAGGCACTATGCCACCAGAGCTCCCAGCCTTGTAGACAATACACATTTTATAGTGCTAGCAATTTCTGTGTATACTTTCCAACAAGGTATTTATAGACTCTTTGATGTGAGTCTGTGGGAGTCAGTAGGCACTCTGGTAGTGTAGTGGTTAAGGCATTCAGCTGCTAGCCAGAAGGTTGATGGTTCAAACCCACCAGCCTCTCCATGCGAAAAAGATGAGGTAGCTGCTTCCATAAAGGTTTACAAATTTGGAAATCCTATGGGGGCAGTTCTACTCTTTCCTGAAGGGTTGGTGTGGGTCAGAATCGATTCCATGGCAGTGGGTGGAGTTGGATTGAATGAGAGCTTAAAGGTTATTTGTGACATTTGGAAACTGGTTTAAACACGTTCTAAATCAGCAAGATGTCCCAGAAGGACACGGCAGTCTTGGGGGTAAATTCCAAAGGGGACTTTCTCACACCGAGACCATTTTGTTCTCTGCAGCTGGGACTTCCTTCAGACAGGCCGGTGGGGGTTGTGCACTGCCGGTTCTGTTGCTCAGAGCAGAGCCTGCAGGAAGTGTTTGTGCTTGCTTTCCAGGTGATAACTTCGTTCTACGTGGAGCGTGGCGGGAATGCGACGTCCTTCATGGGGAAAGGGGTCACCAAGAGCACGGTGCTGTGCCTGCTGCACTTGTCCCATGAGATGATGGCCCAGGCCCGGCGCTCGGTGAGGCGGCCACGCGCGCTGCCTGGCCAGCAGCATCTGACGCCAGCGTGCTGTGGCCTGAGCGGCCGGCTTCGAGGCCTGTCGCCCGAACATGCCGCTTTGTCTCTTCGTTTCAGGAAACAGAAATGGTCTTTGGCTCGGTGTTCCTTAGAGGTCATCTGTGGCAACTGAGTTTTAATCAGAATTTCATTCATTCTGAATTTCATTCACAATTCATTTTGATTGAGTTCTTCACTCATTAGAAAACTGCATGTTGTCTAAATCATTCGAAAAATGCTGTTCCAAAGAAAAAGTTATTTTTAACTTGGTTGGGAGAAGCTGAGGTTTTTGTTTGCCTTGTTTGGGGTTAATTAATCGATTAAAGCAAACCATAAATACATTCTTGTTTTGTTTTGATCTTTAAATACTGGGTTATTTTTAAATCACTCTGTTTTATTCTTAGGAACTTGGCTAACGTGTCTCTGCTCCCCTTTTTCTCTCTGTAGGACTGGATGCCGCTGTGGTTTTTGCCTTTGGGAGGCCACCATGAAGACCATGTTTCTACTCCCCAGGGACTGGCGTGGCTCATCCCATTGTGGGTTGATCGGGACCCAGAGGTCAGTGAAGGAGAGTCCCGTCAGTTCTTCGTAGATTTGAAAATGATGCACATGCGTACATTCTAAAATGTGCTTGTTTCAGTAGCAGCACTTATATTTTATTTCACCCCTTTTTAAGTCAAATTCAGTAGAGTACAGTTTGAAAATATAGGAGAAAAGTTTATAAATCTGTCACTTTCAGAAAGAACAGTAGAAAATTAATTGGAGAAGCCCAGGTGATTTTTCAAGCTCTTGAAAAGATTAGGTGGGAATGATCAACTGTAAAGCCAAGGGCCAGTGAAGTGCCTTTTAGTAGAGCAGTGTGATTACACTGCATCATTTTATATTAATTAATTTTTCAGTTTCAGCCATTTGTTTACTGACTTCACGCAAGAAATGATTATATTATAATAGAAACCTTGATTTGTGGGAAGATTACTTGATCTGAACTTAGAGATTCTCTTCTTAGGCACATTGAACTTGGACTTGTCGCTGGCTTACAGTAAGACTCCATTATTCTGTGTTATTCTGCAGCTATCATTGAAACTATATTTCTGGGTCAGAATTCAGATGTTCACAGAAAAGCATTGTTTAAATAGCAGCAGTACTACTACAAACCTATTATATGAAGTCAACCTTGTTTGAAACATTTTTCTCTTAAAATGATTATGGAGGAAATAGTGTATGCTTTGTAGAAAGTTAGGTCACTTACTTCTTTGTTTTGAAGAGCTTCAGACCATTCAGACATTTATAAATGTCTTTTATAATTTAAGACTATCAAACCAATCCCATAATTTAAAGTACGATATTTAACATACCAGACAAGTACTTAGGAATTCATGTTAGAAACTAGGATTCTTTGCTTGACAGTGATTCTCTGTGATTTGAACAGGTGCGATTCACTTCTCTGGGCGTAGGAGCTGCATTAACTACCCTCGAGGCTGGCTGCGTTGCTTTGGCAAATAGTTGTCAGAACATCTCTGGTGGGCTCTGGGGAACTGTGCTGAACATCCTTCTGGACCAGTCGGAATGTAGCATGGTACGCCGGGAGGTAAGTCCTTCTGCTGACCCACCCCTTTTCTCCATAGGAGTCTCTTGAGATAATAATGTTCCACCCCCTGTTCCACATGGTGGCGTGACCCCTGTCCATTTTATCTTTTGCCTAACAAAACCCCACAGGAGTTGACAGAATTTTGTTTATATTGCTGCAATCTTTATGGGCCTCTAATGTTTATAAACATTTGGTTAAGATACCTAAAAACCAAAACCCACTATTGTCAAGTCCATTCCAACTCATAGCGACTCTATAGGACAGAGCAGAACTGCCGTACAGGGTTTCCTGGGCTGTGTTCTTTATGGAAACTGACTGCCACATCTTTCCTTCGTGGAGCTGCTGGTGGGTTTGAACCACAGACCTTCCAGTTAGCAGCCAGGTGCTTAAGCACTGAGCCACCAGGGCTCCTTTAAGATATGGGGCTATAAAAACACTCTGGTATTTATCACGGAACCTGTGAAAGAAAAAGTCAACAAAGTAAGCATATTTTAATTCTTCCTAAATAGTGTGTGGTTTTCTTCTCATTTCTTCTTTTTTGTCAGAAAAGATAAATCCTGTAAATAGTTTTAAAAACAGTAGTGAAATAGCACTTAAAGTTTATAAAGAAAACAGCAGCTCTGGAGCCCACCACTAGCCAGACTCCAGTTTGAGATCCCAGGGGCTTTCGTTTTCTTGCTGTTTACCTCCTTGTTTGTACACAGTAATGCTTAAGCATGTGGCGTAACTAAAACCAAAACCACACACATTGCCACTGGGTCGATTCTAAGTCATAGCAACCCGTTGGGTTTCCGAGGCAGTAAATCTTTACACAAGTACGTTGCCCTGTCTTCCTTCTGCGGAGTGGCTGATAGGTTTGAACCACCAACCTTCTAGTTAGCAGTCACATGTCTTAGGCACTATGCCGCCATAACTCCTGCTTATCCCATTTAAACCTTATCTGTTGGCTTGCATTTAAGATAATGGAAAATATCACTCTTGGACTCCCCCTGCTGGTCTACCATTGTCCTACGATAGTTATACCCCAAACTTGCATTAAATTGGTAATCAGTGTTCATCTTAGTTTGATTATTTAATTTTATCATCTTCAGAGCCAGTGGGTAATTGGGACAGTCATGATTTATTTTTCTAGTTCACAAGTTGAGAGGAGATTGTATGTAAGGGGCAGGGAAGAGCAAGAAGAATGAGTGTGTGTGTGTGTGTGTGTGTGTGTCTCTAAAACCTGGGGGGGGAAAAAACTTGAAAGTATATTTCTTAAATAAGATCCAAATAGTTTGCATTGTACAAGTGATTTTTTGAAAAAAAAAAAAAAAAAATCTGTGAAATAGGAAAAAAAGGTTTTTTGTATGAAATAATTTCATCTGTTGTAGGTCATCCCTTGATTGAACAAGGAGCACATTTGGACCCTTCAGTGTGTGTGGTTGACAGGGAAGTGTCTGTGCTTATTAAATGATGACACATGGGCTATTTCAGAGATGACAGCAAGATGGCAGTATTGACATTTTCTTTATTTTCAGGCTGCATTTATTCTTCAGAATCTCCTTGTAATTCCAATGCCTACAGAAATTATAAAGGATTATACTTGGCAGGTGGGTGACTTTAAACACTTATCAACCTAGTACTTGTTCATCTTAGTTTCATTACTTAGTTTGTGCTTGTCTGCATGTGAGCTGTGAGTCCCCTTATTTCACAGAGGAAGAAACTAGAGCACAGAAGGTTTCGATAGTTTGCCTGCATCACACAGCTGGTGAGTGGTCCACTGTCCTTTGAGTCTGTGTGGGCTCCCTCAGAGCCTGGCTCATGCCCACTTCAGCTGAGTGCCTCTGTAATCGTGGAAGCACGTTTGCTTACAGTTAATCGTACATTGATGCTACCATCTTGTGTTTTTGTCTAGGTTAATACAGTTAGGGTCGTAATTGATTTTTCTTTGGTTTCTATTGGATTAATTTTTTGCTTCATGATCTGAATATCAAGTTAGTAAATATTTACCTCACAGCTTCATAGGTACTACGTTTTAGATAATTCAGAGGCTCGAAGAGTGCTCTTGATGGGGAGCTGAGATGTTCTCCTTCTGTCCCCTTTGACCTGTCCGTATGTCCTCCTCCCGTAAGTCTCTACTTCTCATCACATTCTACCTCATCTCCTGGGGTCTGTACAAATCAAACGCATATTTCTAAGTTCTCATCGGAATCTACCTTGGGAGGAGTACCGAGTCAGGCTGAGCTGCGGGGAGTGCAGCTGTGAAGTTAGGGATCCAGGTGGTTGAATTGTCAAGACTCAGATCACATTGAACTCTTGGAAGGCTCACGTCTCCTTATCTTACAAACCCAGTTTAACTTTGCCAGTTATTGTAAATCCCAGACTACTTTAATGCAGATTCCTAACAATCTGTTTATCATTGCCTTCTGGTTTGTTGTTGTTATGTGCCGTCGAGTTGGACCCGACTCATAGCGACCCCTCCTTGGGTTTCCTAGGCAGTATCTCTACGGAAGTAGATTGCCCCATCTTCCTTCTGAGGAGTGGCTGATGGGTTTGAACCGCCAGCCTTCTGGTTAGCAGTCAAGTGCTTTAGGCACTATGCTGCCAATAAGACCATAAAAGTCAAAACTGGAGGGAGTATACTGACAAAACCAAACCTGTTGCCATCAAGTTGATTCTGATTTATAGTGGTTCTGTAAAACAGAGAATTGCCCCATCAGGTTTACAAGGCTGAAATCTTTATGGAAACTGACTACCACATCTTTCTCCTGCAGAGCGGCTGGTGGTTTTGAACTGCCAAATTTTTGTTTAGTGGCTGAGTGCTTAACTGCTGTGCAACCTTGGAAGGAATATACAGCATTAATACTGATATTGACAGTGTAGTAGCTGTGGGGTCTAATCCAGTAACAAGATTTTAAAAACATATTTTTGGTTCAAATACAAATCACCTCTCCTCTCATTATTGAGCAAATGACAGTTGTATGCCTTATACAGCTTGTCGATTGATGGACTTTCAGTGGGTTTTTTATTAATGAAGTAAGTATAATAAAAAAATAAAAATAAGACTTCTGGGTTATAGTAAAGACTTAGGGCATTATATTGTAAAACCGTGTGTAGAAGTTCACATTTTTCTCTTACAAATAAAATAATTAATAGTTCCCCTTTGTTCCTGGTGACATTGTCCTGCAACTCTTATCATGGAATTTATTTTCTACTAAAATATTGAAAACAGTGGCTTAAATTAGCTTTGGAGGTCTTTTGCGCTAAGTTGGTCCAAATCAAAAGAGCATGAAGCCATTCCATTCCCAAACAGTATTCAGTGATGGAACTTATGTTAATTCCAAGCAGAAGTAGAAAAAGAAAGGCTGTCTCATGTATTTTTGGTAAACTTAGATTTCTTTTTAAAATCAGTTTTTCGTTATTATTTTTTAAAAATTTAAATGTCCTCACCCAGCAATGTCAGTAGGTGGTGGCTCCGTATTTGTCTTCTGCTTTTTAAAAGGTTAATGGTATTTTGCATCCCATGGTGGAAACACTGTAAGACAGAAAGATAGTCTTCACCCATGGATGGTGGGGTTTCATAATCTCGGAGTGGCAGTAGCCTACAGAGTTGGCATGTTTGTTACAGCCACGAAGAAGGGACAACACATTTAGTATTGGAAAATTAGAGTTGGCTTTGCTACACATTTTCCACTGATGTATGGATAATAATCTTACTCAGAAAAACATTTCATTTCCTTTTCTTGGTGTCAGTTTCACAGTATTTTTGAGGATGTGGCTGGACGCGTGAGCAGTGCCTATGGACTTCGTTCATCCTTGATTTAGGTTGACGTAGATGTTTGATTGACTCTGCCTTTTGGTGCCCTGTGCTACTGCTGCCCTGCTGGGCATACCCAATGTTTTCTTGGTGATTGCGGCCCCTCCCCTGTTCCTGTCCCCACCCACCCAGCTACATTCCTAATTTACGTACATTACTATCTGTGATTGTACTTCTGAATAATAGTAATTTTCATTTCATATGTAAATTATGAATTAAATAATTGGGCTTTTAGATGTTTAAATTGAAAAAAAAATTAGTTACAGAACAGTTGCAGAAACAGTACAGCATTTTTCATACCTTCCCCCAGATGCGTCCCGTTACCATTGTGCCGTGTTTGCTCTAGCTCTGTCTGTCCAGAGTTGTTTTGTTTTTCTGAAGTGTTGGGAATGGCAGGCACAGTGCTTCTTTCTCCCTGTATACTCAGGGGTGATTTTCTTAAAATAAAACAAGAACATTCTCTTAAATAACCACAGTAATAATAATCCGAATCAAGCAATTACCTAATTTCACCAGTTGTCCCACTAATGTCCTGTATAGCAAAAGAAAAAGATTTCTATGTGTACACACATATATGTAATCAGTCTGAGACGTAGGATGCAGTCCAGAGGTACACACTGTGTTTATTTTTGATGTGTGGTAGGTGTCTACTTTCTGAAATAGCCTTCAATTTAGATTCATCTGATGCTTCCTCAGCACTGGATTCAAGCTAAGCATTTTTTGGCAGAAAAACCATGGAAGTGTGATGTTTTCTTTTTGTGGACCATGTCTTGTAGGCACGTGATGTCCCTTTGTCCCATTCCTGGTGATGCAGCTTCGGTTATCTGGTTAGGAGTACTTGGCTGAAGGAGAGTTGTCCTGCTCTCTCCACTGTAGAGTTGCAGTTTTTCCTTTTTTCACAGTGATGCTTTGAGACTACGTAAATATCTGTTTCTCATCAAACCTCTCGCTAGTTTGAGCTACCATTCACGATTGTTGTCTGAAACTATTATTATGTAATAGTTGCTAAGTGACAGATTTCTTATTCCATCATTCCTTGTGTGTGTATTAGATTCTAGTGTAAGAAAGATTCTTCCCCCTTTGTTAATTTATTGAGACCAGAGAAACTCATGTTTTTTTGGTTTACTTCATGGGTTACAGTCTGTTTCTATCATCATTTTGATGTTCATATTTTCTCCACTTTGGCCAATGAGCACCCGTTCATGGTGACCTTCTGTCCTTTTAACATATCTTCATTAATCTTTAAGCGTTTCCTTCTTGCTAGCTCAGCAAGATGTTCCACACTTTCCCAGTACGAGTCCTAAAATCACATATTTCCCCAAAGGTCCCTGATTCCTTTTAGTGGAGACTGGTGTTTAGAAACCAAAATCTGGTTTCTAGGTGTGCTCATTGCTCCTGGGTGGATATCATCTCTCTGCCTTCTCAGTGGATGGAGCTAGTAAGTATCTGTGTATGTCTTTGTGTGTAGTTTAGAGAGATTGCTCCTTCCTTTACAGGGATAGCACATACCATTTTCGTATTTGATGTGATTATACATGCAGTTTTTCACCTGCTCATAATGAATCATCATGGGTACTGATTTCACCAAACAGTAAATACTTCGTGTCAGAGAAACAATGTCACTTTAACATAATTTATGTAATTGTTAAGAATTTGTAATATAGTTAGGATCTATTTTTTTCCCCCAATTATATTGTAGCATGTTTTATTAGTTGTAAATCAAAATAATTCTTTTTCCTTCTAGAAATATTTGGTTCTCTGTTCTTCTTCTTAAAGTCTAATTCTTTGCTTCTGGTTGATTTTCAGTAATAGCATATGCATTTTAAATTATATTCAGCTTTATTGCATCATTGATAATAGTGTTTTAAGTCAATTGGAGCTTTCTGTGACATAATTAATTTGCTGTTTTGCTTGCAAATTTGTATCTAATGCCACTGGGTGATTTGCAGGGTTTCCTTTGTTTGCATCTTGTCCTTCTCAGCCTCCCTGGCTGTCTGCTCAGGATCTGGCAGCCCCAGCATGACCTTAGGGCAGTGCTGAGAAGGATACAGGCATCTTCAGAAAGAGCAATTAGACTGTGCTGATTTCCCTCCTATGCCAGAAGACACCCCATCAATTACCAATGGGCCTGTGGAGCAGAGCGTGGTGCATACATGAAGGACCCCATTGTTAGGCCTTGTGCCGTTAGTCATCCATGCAGAGCTTGAGTTAGACCATCTTTTGTACATATGCTGGGCTTTGCTCCATTGCCAGAGGCGAGCTCTGTTGACACTCTGAGGCTGCCACTGGGAAGCCTGGTGTGTGGATCATGGGGATTAGGCTTTATGCGCAGTTAAAAAAGTCCAATACAAATATAAACAATGGTTATGTAGTATGTACATATTCCAGATCATTTGCAATTTCAAGACATTAAAAAATGCTTTCAACAGACTGATACTTCAGAGGAAATGATTTTTTTTCAAGTAATAAACACAGGTGGTTGAAGGAGAACCAGTGGAGCTTATAATGGAATTCATTACCCCTGCATTAACAAGCAGTTTCCTGCTTTCTGGTTTTAACTCTTGGAGCGCGTGCCTTCAGGTCTCTGGCCCACGTGATGAGCTGCACCGACGGCTCAGGAGGCAGCTTCCTTTCCGCAGCATCCTGTGTCCTGTCGGTGGTTGGGCTTTCTCCGCTGGCCGTCCTGCCGTTGCTGCTTCTGTTGCCTGTGGGTCCTATCTCTTCTCTCCCGCACCTCCTCTGCCCCGTTAGGAAGAGGAGTAACGTATGCTGATGCTGTTGCTATTCTCTTCC